TTTTGTGTAGGTACATATATAGTATACCTAGTATTAAGCCCTAAGTACCTACTTTTACACAACACAATATATAACACTTACCTACTGTTAAATATACCTATACTTAACAGTAGTTAAGTGTTACATATTGTTTTTTTTTTAAATACGTTTAGTTCACACACTCACACTGCGAGGCTCGTGATACGTAACTAAAACTTCACTTAATACATATTTTTAACTAAAAGCTTTTTGTTATTGTAGAAGGCGATTAGCTGATAACAAAATAATTATATTTCGGACACGTTTTAATGCTGTCTTTTGTGTTCCTTGCCAACTCGTTGTAATAAGCCAGGTAAAACTGACTGTTAGGTATTGTCTGTAGATTAATCCTATGCAAAGTACAACCAATTTTGCATAGGATTAGGTAATCTATAGCACTACAAAGAACATCTAAAAAGGTTTTGGCATGGCAGGTGTTGCATTCCATGTCTGGGTATAATTTATCTATAATATGTATGTATTTAGAAATATTTCAATATGTTTATTAGCAGTCTGGTTAGAACAGTCCTAGGCTCTGCCTAGATTGGGATCAGACCACCCTCTGTAATAAGGTTGAAGTTTAAATTGTTATGTTTTTAATTTATTCATCGTTTTATTAATAATAATACTGACATTCAAATTTGTAAAATTTTATTTCTTTTGTAATTCGAAATTTATAAAACTCATAAATTTTATTTCATCACTGACGTCATAAATTTAATTCTAAACTTCTTGCCAGATTCGCAGGCTAATAAATTATTAGTTTCTTTTTTTAAACCTATTGATGATTTATAAACGGTTCTCTTATTTGTTTTTAATTGTGTGACAATGACATGTAGATATATTATATATATATATATATCATATAAATAGTTAATGTTTGTAGAACAAGGAAAAATATTGTGATTATATTTTAATACAGTACATTCGTTGAATTATGTGTTAATGATCATGTTGGACGCGCGATGTTTATCTACTTATAAACAAACATGTTCTACGTTATCATAATACCCATATTGTAATACTAATAATATAAGGGGTATGCAATGCACATTAACAAACACTTATATATTTTATTTAGTTTTATAAATTGAAGTTGATTGAATTCAAGTTGATGACGATATAATTGATTAATTAATGATAAATAGGAAATATATAGGACTAGAGAAAATTGGATAAAATAACGTCCTTTGGTTTACTTTCGGACGGCAAAATATTTGTTTCATAATAGCTACTTTAATTTTAAACTTCTACTTCAGTTCTTCATTGCAGATGAATATTTTTTGTAAATCATATTTTTATAGATCTAGCTAGCTAGCATACTACTTGATGGTAAGCTCTATCTGGTGCCTTAAATATTTAAAGGCACCAATAAGAGCTTTTAGTTAGAAATTCACTTAGTTGTGGAAATCTGAGTAAAAGAATCTGTAGAAACTGCTAGTGTAGGTATATACTTTTGCAAACAGTTATTCAGTGCTTCAAAGTCAGATACTAATTTTCTTGCATAGTTCGGTGAATTTACCTGGATTGTCTGCATATTATCTCACATATACAGGCTGGGCAAGCCACGTATGCCTTCTTCCGTCTAATATTCTCTGGTTTATCTGTCAGTTGGGCTATCTTGCCTATGCACCTATTTGTCCATGATAACCGCTGACTAAACAGTTTCGCCGCCGCCCTCCGGCGCGCCCGCCCGCACTGTTTGCTTACACAAACATCATTTTTTCTCTCTTTAAATCTTACACTGATAATACTGTATTTATTTTATTAGTTGCCCTGTAAAATTGCCATTCCAACCTTTGATGCTTAAGTGGGGTCGTATTCATAAAGATAAAGTGGTAAATCATCTGAATAAAAGGTGGTGACTTTAACCACCTTTATGTAAACTTTGTCACTTCTAAGGCAGTCGGTCATCTGAAGCTTTTATATCACCAAACATTTTATATTCCATCGTGTTTTTTACAATTTTTAAAAGCTGTGCGAGTACAGTGAGTTTCTTTATACCTCGTCAATACCTATTTAGTAAAAATTAGGTTATCAGGAACGAAGAAAAGCGTAGTAGTTAATTAAAAACCTAGACATGATTACTTAAATGTCCAGACAGAGATTTGTATTGTCATATTTCCAAAGATATCGCTATTCGTCAGGAAATTCGGATATGAAGTAGGTAGATAGAGCGCCTTGTATTTTAAGTTTAACGTTGATAAAGAATCGGCAACTGAAGAATGTGCATTGAGTCCATGACGGTAAAACAGATTTAGATAAATCTATCCTTGATTATTATCAAATACAGATTGCTGTTGCTGCTATGCTACTGCATTGGTTACCTTCGGTTCACGTAGCCCGTGTCCAATAAGGATAATAAAAAACATTATTTAATTTGTACACTGCAAAACACTCAAATTCCATTGAGTGACACACAATGCCTATTCAGCCTTTGTTTGTCGGTCTAGTATTATAATATGTTATACGTAAGAGATAGCAATTTTTTTAATTTGATAAATAACATTTCCATAATTTTTTCTATTCATTTTTCTCAAAACGAACTAATAAAAAAGAGCGAAATGTTATTCACGCGGACACACGTTTATAGTTCCACTTAGCGCCTGCTATCAAACGCCGCATAGCCATCGGTTCTATCGTCTATAGTAAGAACACAGTTTGCTTTACTAGTTATACACCACCCCCTTTTGTTTGCTCCTCTAACCGGAAATTTATTTTAGTTATAATTTTCTGTCATTCGTGCACTCTAAAGAGTTATCTCATAGTGTTCGAAAACGTAGGGTAACATGTCATTCTGTTGTCTTTGACCCTCAGCAGTAAAGACAACGCCACTGTCTTTATTATGCTGTAAATATTTTAATCCGACATATATCATAATATTGTATAAAGTGTCATAGCTTAATAAAATTTGATAATTGTTTTTACAGCACTTTAAAGCAATTGGCTAGGTCAGTTACCTTTTTGTTTGTTTTTTTTTTTTTACATCATTATTCACGTTCTTATATTGACCATGTTACAAAAGGTGTAAAAATACTTGATTTCTTTTAAACAGGATAGTTATATTCCATAAGTTTTTTTTTTTATAGTCCATAAGTTCTTCTAGGAGCAATATCTACTCGTTTTCGTTTGTCTCGGTCAGCCTAGCCCCTTATTAATAATAATTATATAATATCTTGAGAACAGAAGAAGAAGAACTGTTATAATCCAGTTTTGAATTATTTTAAAGAGAATTCACTAGGTACTTGTTTATTTTGACAATATTTAACCGACAGCTTTGTTTATTTACTCTTCAAGTTTTTCCACATCTCATGACACTAGATAAGTTAAACTTGCGTTAAACACGTATTAGAAGTTAATTACTATTTTATCTTACACGTTCTGGTCATGGAATATGTTGAGAGTGTTCTATGAAAATAGAACAGTAGAATTAGTTTGAAGTCGTAGTGTTACGTAAATTTCTAATTCCTCAGTGATTCTCTCGCGAGTGACAAACATAATTTATGAAGTTCTTAATACCGAGATAAGGAATATTTACACACTCCGAGTAGGTACACAAGGAGACACCTCACCTCTGTCTAAGTGTTATGTACATAGATATACGTATCTTGGTAATTTTACTCGTTGAGAAATCTACAGTTCTGATAAAAATTGTAAACAAAAATTAACATTTTCGACACTAAGAAAAAAATTCCTTGTTACTTACAGATTTAGTGTCTAATCTGTGTGTTCATACAAGTGCAATAAAGTGTAAATGTAAATATTACCTATCGCTTAAAACACTGGGTTTTTTCAGTCTCAGTGCTTTTACGTATCTGCGACCGGTACACAGACTGGTAATGGTGATATGGTATCACACGGCTAAAAGGCTTAAATGTTAACTAAATATATAGTTAACTTTGCAATAATAATCATTATTGTGTCATCTAGTCTTTACGCGATAGGGCGTCGATGTCAGGCAACTTTGTTTACGCAAAATATTAGCTTAGTTATATAAATTATTAGGAGAAAATTAAAATTTGGCAAACTAAATTCTAATATTCTGAAGTCTTTTAATAGTTTAATCGAGATCCCGTGGGTATAATATCAGATTATTTTTAAATAATATTAAAATGGTTGCTGTTGCAGCAGAATGGTCACGATCAGTGGTTGGGTACATTTTGCATGATAGACTTATGTTGTTTACAGATGATGAATAATATATGAGCTGATTTGTCTTTTAAGAGTTATATTATAAATAATAATAATCAATTATATATTATTAACTTTCTACTCTCTATTTTCCCTTCCAATATTATTTCAGTATTAGTTATCACATTAAAAAAAACTATTTGGTTCTATTGAAACATAATTACTGACAGGATAAACATGAATTTCATTCTTTAAACTTATAGGCGCATTTCAAATATACCTAGAATTATATAAAGGTATATTAGAGGTTTGTTGGCTGTCACAAGGTGTGGTCTCCCGTAGATCCATGTTAAGCCCGAGCGCGCGGTGCCCCTTGATCCCGACCGCCAGGATTTACCTTATCGAGCCCTCGGGATTTGTGCCCTCGCAGTCCTACCCTATATTACACGCAAGCTCGAAACGAGAATATAAAAGACTTTCACGAAGTAAATCGACGAATTATGTCCCACTAAAGTCGTGTTTTTGTTTAGTCTGTTTTACAGCTACTAGAAATATTTTAGAAAATGCAATAAGTAAACACAGTGACACTTCGTGTAGTCTATGTATTTTTTGTTTCGCCTTTAACGTTATATTAATATAGTAACCTTTAGTTATAGATTCAAATATTTTACTTTAAAGCAATAATGTTTTAGTGTTTTTCTTGTTCTGAATCTTAGTAGGTAACACTCTACAAAACCAAGAGCCAACGTCTCCCTGTCATCACTGCGGAGGCATAATTATTAATAACTTTAAGAAGATTTGACAAAATATATAAGTTAGAGAAATAATGTGTAATGCATCTTTTGTTGAAGGTAAAACGCGCACAAAGGATAAATATCGCGTCGTGTACAGCGACCATCAGCGCCTGGAGCTTGAAAAAGAGTTTCACTACAGCCGATATATCACCATACGACGCAAGGCCGAACTCGCTGTTAGTCTAGGCCTTTCTGAGCGCCAGGTAAAACACTATTATAATAATAACATATGCTTCAACAAAGCTCTACTAATTGTCGAAACCAGAAAAAGTCGTTTTAAAACTGTCCATGTGCTCTAAAATACATCCAGTAATGTAAACGTGTACTCTTTTAGTGATTATTATATGCTATGTATAAGGTTTTTTTTTGTTTGATTTGATTTTGATTGTTAGGGTTTGTAAAGACAGATACTAAAAAATAGCTTAGCTGTCATCGAAACAAAAAATAGCTTAGCTGTCATCGACACAAAAAATCGCTCATGATTAAACCAACCTTTCCTTGTCGCATTCAAACTGCTAACACTTGATTTTGTCGAAACAGTAACATTTATACAGTATTTAGTTAGTAAATATATATATTGGTATAGCACATTGGTATTTTACCGCCGAACTTGAAAAATTAGGTGACACATAATATAGAATATGATTTATTTGCAGGTAAAAATTTGGTTCCAAAACCGGCGAGCCAAGGAGCGTAAGCAGGTAAAGAAACGCGAAGAAGTGGTTATGAAAGAAAAGGGCGACCACGCCTCGCTTCAACATGCACAATTACATCACGCAACGATGCTACATCACCAACAAATGATGAACGGTATGATGCATCACCATCATTATCACCAGGGGGTGTTACAGGGGGTACCAGAACCACTTGTGCCCGGGGTACCGCCCGTTCCGCTGCTGTGACCACAGCAATATTGTGACCACAGTAATAACTTCGTATAGTGACTTAATTGGTGACCAATGAACAATTGCGAACAAAACGCCTAATGTCAGTGCATCGTGCTTAAAAACATGTGTTGTTTAAGTGCAATCGTGGGCGAGTATACGTATATGTTGGTTTACAAGTTCATTGTTAAAACTATATACATTAATACTCTAGGTAGGTACTATTTGAATAATAGTTACCTAAAGGCTGTAAGGAGACACTTAACTTACTTTCTGGCGTTAAGGCTTTTTACTTACGATATACTTACAAAGAATAATGTTAAACAACTGTTTTAATCTGTTGTAAATGAATTTAGTCTTAATGTCAGAAATGTTTACTTACTTCTTGGTTTAGTGCTAATTAGATTACATCGAAGTGTTCACGCCTTATAGCTATTTCAGTACCCTAAACTCCTGTATGAGGTACAATTTTATCTATTGAATTTTGTCAGTTGGTTGTAAATATAGAATACTATATTTTTATATTATTATTATTACGACTAAGTATTATTAATTGGATTAAGTTTACGGTTAAATATTATTTCTCAACGCTACAAGTGCCTATCCCGTTGTTTAAATTTTTAATTGTTTTTTTCATGTATTTGCTAAATTCAATCAAATCGATTTTCAATTGTTTTTAGTGCAAGTATTTTGTCCGAAATTAATTTTCATTGCGAATCTCATATGCAATTAATTCCTTTGTATGTATAGGTATTTACAGCAATGAAATATGATATTTATTACGTAACAATGGTCAGTGATCATTGCATTTGTGGCCTTGAGAAGTAGGTGCAAATACTTTTTTATTTTGAATGAGATTATTTCTAGTGTAATTGTTCTGTACATATTAGCTTAAATTCTAGAATAATTTATTCTTATCCCAATGTTTATAGAGTTAGACACAAAAAAAATTACACAGTTCACAAACGGAGTTATCTCTTAAAAGTAATATATATTCCTGTTTACTTTATGCACTCTGTTGAGTTCATAATTTTGACATAATCGGTAATGCAGAGAATGAATTGATTTGTTAGATGGAAATAAATTACTATACATTATTTATTGATTAACATCAAAGCCGTTACCTAAGTGAAGTGAACGTTTATCTTTTGTTTTGTGGTAAAAATTAACAAGTTATGAACTGTGGTGCTAGCTGTATTGTACACTTTGTTCATCTCATTATATCCGATTTTCAGTTAATACACTTACTGTGATTCTGTTTTGTGGTTGTTAATGTTTAAAAAGCGAAAATGTTTGTGAACACATGAAATGTTAGAATTTACGCAGCACTATCACGAAACACATTTGATAAACTAAATAAAGTCATGTTAATCTATGCCAATATGTATCATTTACCTCACTTTTGGTTTGTACGTCACATGTTACAAAGATTCGTCTTTACATACTTACTAAATATAACAAAGTCGCTTTACGAGCTTATCTGTGTATCCGCCGACTTCTACTAAATCATGAAACGGATTTTAATGCGGTTTTCACCGACAGTTTCATAATTATTAAAAAAAAGTTATACATGAAACTTAATTTTTTAGGTTAGGTATATTTGGATTTCTAATTAAAAAAAATATTTTAAAAACAAGTGTTCAAATTTATGTGGTATATATATTTCGACAGCTATTCACACTATCTTTCTCTACTACTACACTATCGCCGCATTTAAGTTAACAAAATTAAAGAAAAGAGAGGAAAAACATAGGTCTCAATAAAAATAAATATTAAAAGGTATATCGACTGTCACGACCTATAGTCATCGTCCAAAGAATTTGGAAGAATTGATAAAATTCAAATGAACGAGTTTCATCATCATCATCTTCTTACCCTTGTTACAAATTTATTTGAGGTTAGTGCAATGAGTATTCTCAATCAATTTCCATTTCCTGCTCACTCAGTCAGACATCCATTTTTACTCAGTCAGACATCCTCTTTCACTCAGTCCTTCATTTCAGTCCTTCAAAATGCTTCTGGCTTATTTTGGCATGTATATAACGCTGGCCGCCTAATTAACGGCAACTACAAATCTTTTCGGATTTAATTGTAAAATAATTCTTAAGCCCGAAGTATCTTATCAAAAGAATTTTACAGATGGCGACTATAAGCTGGTTCAGGTGGAGTTCCATATTCAACTTATCGCATTGAATAATTTACACTTGTTGCTCATTGTAGGCTGGACTTCCATGTCTATTGGATCTGGCCGGGCATCCTAGAAATACCTACACGGTAGTAAAATCGTATTTCTAGACAAATATTATAAAGATGAAGCGTTTGTCGTTAGTCTTGTTTGCTTGAACGCGCTTATTCCAGCAACTACAGGTCAAATTAAACATTCTTTTAGTGTTGCATAGCCTATTCATCGAGAAAGGTTACAGGCTGTAAATGACATTACTCTTCACCCAATAGGAGCGGAGCATCAATGAAAAATGTTTTAAAAAGCGGGGAAAATTGATTCCTTTTGAGAGACGCAAATGCTTTGCGTGGGTCAGTTTGTACTGAATTTGGACGGTACAACTACTCGTAACCACGAGAGTGCACACATAGAGAACCGTGCGCGCCTCGTAGGGCCGGTAGGGCCGTAGAGCGATAATGACCGGAGGTCACAAAAGTGCTTGCCATCTCAGCCGCACTCTCAATTTATTTAGTTGCCTCGGAACTCACGTAGTTTGACTCCTAGTATTAGTCCATTTACTGCTAGACTTAGCTTTTTTTTTTATTAACTCATGTTAAAATACACATATTTAAATAAAACTTTAATTTTGAGAATTTAATAAAAAAGGTTCGATCAATATAGTCTTAATAAACAAACAGAATTGGTATTGGTGGTGGGCTCCGGTTTCCGCACTTAGAAACAAACAGTAACATACAACTACATTATATTTATTAATTATATGAATAAATTGCACAAAGCTTAGATAAGCACCTGGTTTTTTTTCAAAGAATATTTGTGTATGCGATTTAAATTACATACATTCACTCGACCATATGCCCGTTAAGGTACGCATCGACGTACACGTATTAAACAAGCAGCACAAGAAAGAAAAAATATGTCATTGCGGGAGTATCTACATAGGTATATTCGTAAGTTATCGTCTGCGGTATTTCCGGACCGATACTGATACGACCTTTAAACCTTCAAGAAAAGAGCGTACTCCTTTGTAAAAGGCTGGCAACAGGCTTGTGACTCCTGAGTTACCAGCGTTCATGGGCGGGGGTAGTCACTTTCCATCAGGTGACCCGTCTGCTCGTTTGCTCACTCTTGCATAAAAAAAATTTCAGTCCAGAGGCAGACTTGGTTATTAAAATGAAGTGACAAAAGACTGTAAATTATAGCTGCTTAAATATAAAATATTTTCGCAAAACGGTGACCGGCGTGTTTAAGCTCCGTTGAACAAGAAACGCCTATATTAAAGGTAATATAAATGGTAATTGGATTATCATAGCACACTGAGAGTAAATTATAATTATTACATATTTTATAAGTAGATAAATTAGCCATTTTAAGCTTTTTTAAATAGATAAGATTTTTTAAATCTTAATAGCTGTTGCTAACGCTTTCAATTTAGTAGATAACATCCTTTTTACAAAATTATGTTTTTTATATTTTTTAAGAAACTAAATATTATTTTTATATCAAGAATTTGTGCTCTACCGAACATCGCAGTTAGGCTTCATCATGGAATATATCGATCGATATTAGGGTCGTTGCTGATTTCTGTAACATATGATTCTATTCAGTAATATGAAACCGCAGTAAAATAATTAAATATACAGACTTCTACTGTACTTGTAAGTAAGACAATTCTACGGCCTTTGTGTCGATTTTTGCCAAAAGTACGATCAGGTTAGCGGATTCGAAACTGTTGCGTTTAAGCACGATCAGGAATTGACTCCGGATCAACTTATGGAGATTATCCCAGAAGGGTATCATTCTAGTATTCGCATAAAGTCTAAATAATAGAATAATTTAGGACTCATCAGTTTCGAGCCTTTTCTCAAACTAGATTGGGGTCGGCTTTCAGACTTCTACGACATGGCTGAAATTTGATTTTTTAAGTGGAGCGACTTCTATCGGACCTCCACAAACCAAGTACTGGGCGAGATCGAATCGATCGTTCTCTAGATAGACTGTTGTCGGACTTTGCTACAGATATTCGTATGGCAACCGGGACCGACGGCTTAACGTGCTTTCCGAGACATTGAGGGGTCTCAATGTGTTCAGAACGGATACTCGTCCATAGACTGTGCTGGCTATAAACGTTTAACTTTGCAATGTGCTAACCTACCCTAATATGCTAAACTACCTAGTCACTAGTTTAAGAAAATATTAATACTTCATTCATAATAATTAGTAAAGACACTGAAATATTCATTAGTTGACACTTACTATTTGACCGTAGCGGAAGTAGTGCAAGCTTATAAACGCTTACTCTTAAATTAGACCCATAATGCTGACTTAACATCATTGTCAATAACGGAAATGCCTCTAGGGATGAACCAAGGTATCTTTACACTTTAGTTTTGTCTGTAATAAGTCACAAACATGCTTAGAATTACCTGTTGCATCATTAGATAGTAACTTTCATGCAGTTAGTTAACAATGATATTGTCAACTTGAGAAGTTCGTGATTTTTTAAATGGTCAATCAGATTCGTTTACTTTTCAGTTGAGTTTAAAATACTTGGTCATTAAAAAGCAAGTAGTTGTGCTTTACTTCTAACATTATCTGATTCTATTTTCGATTGTTTGTTTGCGCTTTATTCTTATAAGGCTCAACCCCTTGGACACCGGCGGTAGTAGATCGGCAAAGGCATGTTATAGATTTTCGATATTATTATATTATATTAAGGGAGCAAACTACGCAGGACAACAGCACTGCACAGCGAAGGAAAACTTGAAACAAACCCCATACCAACCCGTCTGGCAAGCGTGGTATAGTAGGCCAAAACCTCCTTCCTAAGGAGAGGCCTATGTCCAGCAGTGGACTAGTAAAGGCTGTTGATGTGATGTGATGTGATGTGATATTAATTTTACTAAATATTTGACAAAACAGATATTATTGCTATTGTGTGTGTTGATCTATGACTTTAGAGTCTACATAAAAGACGATTTAAACAATTTTATGAAATAAAGGAGTTTGACACGAAAACTTATCATTCGAAGGCCTATAAATTTCTAATGACTATACGTAATTGTAATTAAGTATCTTAATTTAACTTAACTAAGAATAAAAATTTAAACAAAGGTAACTAAAAAATACAGGCTGAAGACTACATCATACATCATACTAACGTCAATAAACCTGACAGACAGACAGACAGATGTGTATTGACTACCTCGGTGGTGCAGTGGTAGCGTATGCGACTGCTGTACTGAGGTCTCGGGTTCGATTACCTGATGGGACCAAATATTTGTATGATCTCCAAATATTTTTTCAGTTTGGGTGTTTTCTATGTAAAATAAGTGTGTATTTACAAAAAAAGTATATATTCTATCAGTCAACCTAGCTTTTATAGTATAAGCTCTGCTTAGTTTTAACCTTAATATTATTATTCTGGAAAAAATAAAAAAAACTGACAAATCATTCATTTAGGTATAAAGTATAACAAATGAACGAATATCCAATGACTATTGTGCCAACATTATAAGAGTAGTAGTATAAGAGTCTCGATTAAGACCTCATTGTTATTCCTAGATATAGGACCATAGCGAATTTGGGAAATCTCTTACTATTAAAAATCAGAATATCGAGTTCTTTAAGAAAATTTAGTAAAAAAATATTACTCATATGTCACATAAATCTATCAAATATCCGCAAAATAAATTTAGAGAGCCGAAATCTTGAAATTGTAAATTTATATTATAAATTTAGTAAAACTGGCACACAAATGTTACACACTGTACGTTTAGGTTAAATGTTCACCTGGATATATAATTTCCAATGTATCTATAAAATACTTTCGAATTGATAACAAAAAGTTCAAAATAAGTATGTAAACAACAAGAGGACATAATTTATTTTGTCCAGGCAAAGGAATTTAATGAAAAATGATTTCATTAAAATTATTAGAAAAATGTTTTTAGGATTTTCTTTACTGTCAACCCTAGAACACATCATAGGCATGCACGGAAGGAATGTGAATGCGCTAAATGCTGAGTAAACTGATGCTTATTGAGGGCATTTTGAGAGGTTCATCAAAAGGTACCGGTGCTTTATATCTCGCCGCCCACTGACGCGTCAGTGCGGGACGCCTTGATGGCCCGTTCTTCTAACTGAGATTTAAGCAGGAATTGAATACAGGAAAATCGTGCATTCCAAAAACTTTGAGCGTGTGATACGGCTTAATTAAACCATGTATGTTATGGAGTTTAATAAAAATAATTCTGCATAATTTAAACACTTTCGGCTTATAGACATAAATCTTTTAATTTCATGCGTTTGGATTAAAGTTCTTATGACAATAAAACAATTTAACTGAGTTTTATATCAGTTTATGTAATAGAATACATCATCATCTGCTTACCCTTATCCAAATTTTATTTAAGTATGATTCTTCCATTCTACTCTATCATGCGTCGTCTCACTATTTAATCCCTTAATAGCCATATCCTCACTCACACAGTCCACCCACCTTTTACTTTGGTCTTCCTCTTCTCTTGTAGCCTTTAACTCCCATACCTAATACTTTCTTCGCCACATTTTGCATATCCCTTCGCATGACATGTCCATACCAAGATATCCTATTACTTCTTAACTTTTCATTCAGTGGCGCTACTTCCAGACTCACTCCTATATACTCATTCCCAACCTTGTCCATCCGAGTCACACCACACATCCATCTCAGCATTCGCATTTCGCCTACGTTCAGGCGTCTCTCATCCGTTCTCTTAATGGGCCATCATTCGAAACCATACAGGACGGCAGGTTTGATGACAGTTTTATAAATTTGTCCCTTCAGTGTTAAGGGGAAACTGGGGTCACAAATTGTTCCCGTTACCTGCCGCCGCCTCATCCATCCCGCATTGATTCGATGCTGTACAGTTCGGTAAATGTATCTTAATAAATATACAACTTGTGGCCCATTTACAATGTTAACATCTGGCAACTCTATAACTTTGTCACCGGTTGTGAGATCAAAACGTCAGTCTTTTCGAATTTCACTATGGAACAGTACAGTCTACAAAGTGCTGTTATTACATTCGAACAATCTCGATTGTGAAAACGCAACGTGCGTACCGTTCAAAATATAAAGTGACAGACGCGCCTTCTCACATGACCATTAGGCGTTTGCATAAAAAATTGTGGCTAGCGGTAACCTTAGCAATTCTAGTCATCAAGGGAGAGAGCGTACGAGACGGTCCGATAAGAATATTAAGGTTGAGACATCACCACGAACATCGAGTCGCCGCCGTTTAGCATAGTTGGGCATCAGTCGCAGTTCACTGCAACGCTATTCAAGATGATTTGAGGTTCTTTTCATACAAAATTTAAATTACACAACGATTATTGTTAACTTATCATCTTTTTGCGCAGTAAGTCGTCGTTCGCCTATTTTTCAAAAACGATGATTTTGTCTGGCCTCCAGATCGCCTGATTTGACTGCTCTGGACTTATTTCTGTGAAGCTTTTATAAGTCCAAGGTAAGTAAAATAAGCCATGGACTGTGTAAGAATTCAAAATAGCTGCTATAGAGACCGCAACCCTTGGCAAAGTGATTTGAAATGCTGAAAAACGAGCTCATTACGCCATCCGTTGTAAGGGCGATCATTTACCTACACGATATCATCTTCTAGAAGTGATCCATACTTGACTAATCACTTAACAGAAAATTAATATGTGTTTTTTTTTATTATTTACATTTTAATTAGGCCACCCGTTATTTTTTAATACATTTTCAAATAGTAAATCACAGACAATCTGTTGAAATTTTGGTATTTGAAAAATTTGACTAGGGAAGTAGGTAGGTACATAATATGATCTAACTATATATTATTCATATTTGTGTATAGTTCAGGTGCAAGCTGTCCTTTATGTAGGTCGTATGTACTTCTGCAAAATGTGTTCAATATTTGGCTTTCAAATAGTACTGCGAAGGAAATACCAATCTTTAATATTGCAGTATGTAATGAAGTACCAATCATTAGTAGCAGCAGTATTGATGGAGCTCGCAGTAAAAATAATACAATACATTGGGTGTTTTTCTTCAACCTCTTACCATACTTTTTCTATCAAATAAATTATACCTTTGAATTATATTTCTTTCTATATACATTTACCTTTTATATAAAATCATCATCTTCATCAATCATGATGAACAACCTTTACTAGTCCACTGCTGGATTTCCTGCTGGTTTGCTATCCTTAGAAAGGAGGTTTTTGCCAGCTAGGTATACGGCGCTAGCAAGACGGGTTGGTATAGGGTTTGTGTCAAGTTTTCCTTTTCTTTGCAGAGCTGATATCCTTCAGAGTTTGCACCCTTACGACACCCACGGGATGAATAGAAGTTGAACCTATACTTATATGCAATCAGTTTAAAATTAGTATTCCTGAAAGTATACCTTTGAAGTCTTTGAATGTGCAATATAGATTTACAGTAAAAAAGCCAACTCGACATTATTTCATAAAAAGATTTTAACAAATATGACTATTGCAATTCATCATTCAATAAATAACAATAACTACACGCATCTTACACAGAAAAAAATTTCAATTTACAAAACAGCTCAATAATCCCTATGCAATTTAAATAAAAATTATTAACATATGTAATTAGAACGCCAAACAGTGGTATGCGTGACTCTGTCTAACTTCTTCAATATTACCATGACGGAAACTACATAACCTCATATCGTATTAGGAATACGAGCTTATACAATATAATATTGATGGATTAAATGGCACTAAAATAAATCAGACTATCTTGCAACACATTTTGCAACGACCGATAATCGTATACAAGTAGTACGTTGGATTGTATCTAGTAATATTTGAAAGGATTAGTATTGATGTTTTAAATAAAAGCGGAGTATACGACCACCGCGACGCCCGCGCGCCCGCTGGGATCTTATACAGAGGCTAGGCGCAACGCAAACAGAGCTTCAAATGTTTGCCTTCGCCCTCACTTTGTTTGCCCTTTGACAGCAGTCTCACAGGTCGTTAACACGTCACGCCTAACTGGAGGATACTGAGAACGTGTATCTACCGTAGGTACAAGGTCTATTTAAACTAAAGACACTATTAAACAATACAAATATACGTTATTGTATCGAAAATGAGATAGTACTTATATTTAAACATATCTACTTCAATAATACATATAGCTCCAAAATCACTCATAAATTACAAACAGCCATGAACAACACGTAGATAAATAAATAATCAGTTGTTATCGTGTGCCTTAGGTACGTTTAACTAGGTGCGTTAATCCTCTTGATTTGATATCTTGATAAACTCTGGATTATCGGCGAACATGAAAGCACCTAAATTAATTTTTAATCCTCGCTTTCCCTTCGTCACTTGGCCATATCTTATATATGTAGGTACACAAGTCGTAGATACGAGACCGCACGATATCAAGCACGCCGCCGCGCGTCGACATAGCCGGCGCCCGCGCAACCTAACCATAAACTTTACTCGAGACATGTTCATTAATTGAACTTTATGGTAGGCTATTGTATCTTCTCGTGATTATATCATATTCTATGGTAGCTAGCTTTTCACAATATTATGCATAATAGTCTGTTTTTTTGGCATATAATCAACAAAAAGGATTCCTTCACTATCTCAGAATACTGAAGTCATAACTTTGTCAGCGGTGGGAGCAACTCGAAATTTCTTTGTAGGCGAAGAGAACGGACGGTCAAACAAGAGACAAAGCATTGTCTCTTGATTTCTGGATCGTAATGGTAGTACCACGCCTCATCCATTTTTACAACTTAAGGGCAATATTGATCAGGATCATTTCCAGATTCCGTTTAGAAATTACCAAACGCTTTTTGCTTTCGTCGGTTAAAATTCGTAGCACCCATCTTTGCGACACTGATCTGATCCCAGTAAAAAAGTTAAAATGGATTGAATATTACCATTCAATCAGCGAGAAGCCCAAAATCGATCTCAGTGGTGTGCAATGGGAGAGGCCTATGTCTAGCAGTGGACTGCGATAGGCTGATGATGATGATGAAATGAAATTTTAGGATTTCAGCAAAATATTTTATGTTTATTCTATATCCAAAAACCAAATTTTCGACCTTTTTGACAACGGATCATCTTCACAGCTCGATCTGCCTTTTTTGAATTCAATAACCCTGTAAGAGACTTTAGAATGAGTTAAAGCACTATCCCCTAATGTCTGTTGAATATCTTTTCAGGCATAGATTTTTTTATAAGTGTTTTTAGAAACACTTTATACAAAAAAAATATTAATTGCAAAGGATGATGTAATAAAGTGCGACTGACCCACAAAATTATTATTCATATTTGCGATTCTAAGGACTTTCTGAATCACCCACATAAAAATATGTATACATATTTTTATGTAGGTGATTCAGAAAGTTCTGTTACCATAGTGATCCTGATTGCTGATCCAAAAGCCCATGGTTAACTTATGACAAACAGCTGTGTAATAAGAACGACCAATTATTCTGTTCCTGACTGACTTTTATCTATAATATGTACCTAATAGATAGAAGATTGGTGTATTCGGGTTATAAGAATGCAAACCTACCCTGCTCGATCTTTTGCTGACATTCTTCAATCCATATTAGCAATTCCCCTTTTCCACATTGCCTGCCATTCTTACTCATCTTTCTTTTAATACACTCCTAATTTACCCCTCTAATCACCAAAGCACCCGGTTGATGGTAATTGACTTGTCCAATATTGTATAGGTGCCTCTGCCTACCCGTGAGTGTATGTATGTACACATGTATTAAGTAATATATAAATTATTGACTCGTTGCTATTTTACAGGATCTGCATTATTTGGGATCAGACGATAGTTTAATGATATTTACTGCGGTAAGTGTTAATATCAGAGATTGTAAATTAATGGAAAGCAGCGATACCAACAATCTGTACCTCGGTGATGTATTTAAATAACTACATAGAATACCTGGGTACTTTAGGATTGTAAGTATTTTTTTTTGCTGAGGGTGAGGAAAATCCCTTCGCACCTCCGACTCCTAAAAATCAGGAGGAGGACCCGGATCATGTGATTTCAGGTCCTCCCCGAATCAACACCGCGCCTGACTAGGCTAGATCCCGGGGGAAGTTGTAAGTATATCTAGACTACCTAATTTATACAAATTGTAATTAAATTATAAATATTGTATTTGATTCCTTAACAATTCAGATCAGGTCTGAGTGTAAACAACACTATTTAATTTTTTTGGCTTGTTCCAGAGTTAGACTCGTTCCGTACCAGTCAAACTATGGGATAGGCAAAGGAAACATTTTTTGATTAAGTCCGCCCGTGTTTAAAATGTGGTTATGTTTATGTAAACACGTATATTGATTAAAATGATAATAATAATAATAACTTCACACATCTCACACGACTCACGCACGGCCGTCTGATCAGTCCAGCTCCCACTCCGGTAAGCAGAGTGCTGATAAACATACTATATATTTCTCAATACATACATATAATAGATAAATTACACCTACACACAGAAGAAATGATGGTGCTCATCACACAATTATTGGTCCTGGGTGGGAACCTACGACCTCTGGCTTACCAGTTAGGGTCACTAACTACCGGCAAGAGGCCCGTCTAAGAATGTTAAGTGATTTGGGCCCACATCCCATCGACTTTTAATTGTTAACTTGCAATATTTTAAAGTTGTTTAGAAATGTATACGAGTAGGAGTGCATTGGGAACCGGCATTTCTTAATCGAGAGTTCACACTGCATTTTAAATCTGGTTGTCGGATTAGCTTCATTTTCCATTAACACTCATAAAAATGTCGAGCGAGTATCTGTGTCACTATATACGTTTCTTTAATAAAATAAAATAAGACGAATAGAAATAATTAAGTATTATATTACAAGAAATGTATGATATAAAGTGGTCCCTTTACCAATTAAGAGTTCCTATAATAATGTTACTTCGCCTGTGACAGGATTGCAACATTGTGAGGTTAACTAATAGCGTTGCGATTGTGTATAGATCCTGGTAAGCACTTGCCATTGAATGAGCGATTTGCTTCTTAAGAAAATTTATTGAAAATGAACACCAGCCACAATAAATGACCTTCTTACAGCAGGTATCCCCAATAAAATAAGTGCGGACTTCTCAAGACTGGGATAGCTGGCGCTCCTTGGTGGAGGTATACGTACAGCAGTGGACGGCGAAAGGCTAATGAATGATCACCAATAGTCTTCTCACCCCGTAGTCAGGGGTATTTTGTGTCAACCCCCATGTCGAATCCGTAATTACCCCAATATTGGTTAATGTTGATATTAGGAATCAAATAGCTACTTCATGAACAGATTTTATTTATACAATTAAAAACGGGCTACTTTCGAAATGATATTAGTTATTTGGGCTTTTAATAACGCAGGTCATGAATATGTGATGCGATTTGACGCGGACCAAGATTTATATTTATAGCACTTTTAATTTATGGGCCGTTGTAAAACACGTCGAAACTCAGGCGATCAATAAGGTAGGTGCCTACCTGCCGTCGCGCAGTCGAGGGTATATGAAATATATGAGGAGGTATATTTCTATGTAGGTATCTCATACATTTTTTGTTGAAATAGAGACATACTCTACCTAAAGATGGAGACGAGACGTAATTATAGAGGCAAAAAGAGGTATTTGAGGATATTTATAAAAAGGTACACAGATTTCCATAAAAACCCACACACAGTATATTCTTGTGTGAGCACCTAAAGCCATACCTACAGTAACGAAATTTGAACATAAGTATAATTATAATTTATTTTATTAACTTTGTTTCTTGTATAATAACTTATCTAATTACCTAATTATTTAGTTCTTTTGCATATTTATATGACGATAAAACGTGTTATAAAAATAGTGGCATTTGTGTTCAGGATCGTGACGGCTATAAAATTATTCACAAATTAGGTGAAAAAAAATACTAATATAAATAGTATATAAAAAGTTACTTCTAAATATTATTTGCAAGACATATATGATAGTGAAGTATATATACACGTACGTACATAATTTTTTAAGCATATTACCCGGTTGTTTTTGGGTGTGGATTAACTACAGCAAAACATCGTTATTTACCCAACATACGTGTACAATACAATTCTCATTTCCGCCTCCATGAGGCTTCTACAAAACTAAAATGATGACTGGTTCTATGTCAATTTCCTACTTGTAAGAACTTCATCATTCTTTTACAGGTCACACAATATCCTCAAAACTATTACAGTCCTCTTGATTCCTATTGTTAATATTGAATTTCCCGTGAGATTATTTGCTTTTGTTGGGTAATCCTCGCTACTATATAATTCTAGTTTATTTTAAATTTATTGACAGAAATGAAATTCATTCAAAATTTATTAAAGGGTATTTGAGTTACGTATGAACCATGGGTTAGGATTATAGGATAAATGCAGTTTCTGAGAATGCAATTAGTAATAGAACACTTTGTAAATGTTTGAGTTACAGTAACGGAAATATCTTTAGATTATAGGGAACGACAGAATTATGCATCTATGATCTAGTGTCTAATGTACATTACATAAAGCAAGTTACAGGAATAAGTAAATTGAAAGGTTATTTTCTGTTATCTATCAATATCCATGCAACCATGGATATTGATAATTTTATGTACAGTAGGTAGTCGCCTTTTTTGAAATGAGAACTGTTGGCATTAAAAGTAAATCTAAAAGACTAGAAACATGACTGAGAATTATACTTCTGTTTCTGTTTTAATAAGACTAAAATATATACTCCCGCACTAGGAATAAATCCTGTGTCACCACACCACAAAGTACACCCAGACAAGTACAGAACAAGAATTTATGGATCACACAAAGTGTTATCCCATGTGGGGTTTGAACCCACAACACTCGGCGCAATAGGAACCGCTTAAACCACTACGCAATCCGTGCATTTATTTATGAACATTATTGTACTCCATGGCCATATTTTTTCACTCGTCAGCGTCAGACACAAAAAAGTAAGTGCCATATAGAGATAGTGGTGGATATATTATATTGTAACACATGCATATTAATGTTCTTTATATGCCGAATATGTTTATCGGTCTTCAATACGTATAATATAAGCCTTGCTTAATTTGTTAAAACAAAAAGGGAGACAAAAACTTTAACAAGTTTTCGCAAATAATCCCCATAACTCCTAATTTGTAAATAGTGATGTAAATGAAGTAGTGTATGCGAGTACATTAGACTGCCTTTCTAAATTATCTAAGTATTATTTAGACTGGCCTCTTGGTCTAGTGGTTAGTGACCCTGACTGCTACGCCAGAGGTCGTGGGTTCGATTCCCACCCAGGACAAATATTGTGTGATGAGCACGGGCGTATGTTCTGTGTCTGGGTCTACCATATCTATAATATGTATGTATTTAAAAATATATAAGTATGTTTATCAGCAGTTGTTTGGTACCATAGTACAGGCTCTGCCTAGTTTGGAATC